AGCTGGCCGAATATATAGCGGAGATTCGAATTCAGGTCTGTGCTTCAGCAGTTATGGGTTGCTCACGTAGCTAGGGCCTGTTGGTCTCTGCACGTAACTCTTAGGGTTTGGCTGCACTACTCACCAAATGTGCAAAACTAGAATGAATCTTCTTCAGAACATGGAATAATACGTCGCCAGATGTTTTGTCTTTTGTGCATGTGGTGAGTAGAGGCCCTTAGGGGCACTGCACGTATTCCTAAGAAAAGAAAAATGAGAAAAAAAGAAAAACAAGAAAAATGAAAAATGATAAAAAAAAAAAAAAAAAATTAAAACGGGAAATTTCTCGTTTTTCTCTTCTTAGGAATACGTGCAGTGGCCCTAAGGGCCTCTACTCACCACATGCACAAAAGACAAAACATCTGGCTACGTATTATTCCATATTCTGAAGAAGATTCATTCTAGTTTTGCACATTTGGTGAGTAGTGCAGCCAAGCCTTAAGAGTCACGTGCAGAGACAAATAGGCCCTAGCTACGTGAGCAACCCATAACTGCTCAAGCACAGACGTGAATTGGAATCTCCGCTATATATTCGGCCAGCTCGTGCTCTATTTCATATTCACTGCCTGAGTCGATTTTTGTGGGGGGGTCTGCGCTACATGGCTGCGCGGACCCTTCAGACAGCCTGCATGGGCTGTCTGAGCCACGTTAGGGGGATTCTCCAACCCACTCCAAAAAAAAAAAAAAGGAATTTTCACACATGGCGGGGTGATGTGGTAGGGGGGGTAGGCCTCTGTTGTTTTTTTTTTTTTTGCAGTTTTGGGGTTCGTAGAACAAGACCCACCACCACGTAGTCCGCAACGCGCGCGTGCCTCCCCCGGGGTCGCGTTTAGTTTTTTCATGCCGCGTGGTGCGTAGTGCGTTTGAACAGGAATGAACGCGGCCCCGGGGAGTATGAACGCGCGCGTTTGAACGTGAACGTGCGTTCAGCGCGTTCACCCGTTTACACAGCAGAGGAAGTAGTGATCGACGACGACGAAGAAGAAGACGAAGACGAAGAAACATCGGAGGAGGGAAGTTATAGTGAACATAGCGAGGGCGAGCTGAGTGAAGGAGAAGAGGAGGAAGAGGAAACTGAATCTGAGTGGGAAGCCTTGCCGGAGGAAGCGACGCATACAGAAACGGAGGCAGACGATCCGGAAGCGGCGCGAAAGCGCGAAGAAATTGCCACTGGGAAGCGCCAGCCAAGCTAGCCTGCGCATCAGCAACGATCCGACCAGGGATCCAGAGCCGCCGAAGCCCGAAGATGGCGACCCTGCAACCGCCACCTCAAGTACCGCGCGACGGAGACGGAGCCGATCCCCCTCCTCCCCCAGCCCCACCCGTCCCCCAGTTCACCCACGTACCGATGCGGGCGATAGGCCTTCGTCCTCGAACGCTGTCCCGCCGACCCCTTGATTTCCTCACCCTCGAGCAGATCCGTACCCCCGTCACCTTCCCCTCCCATCCTTTCCACCCCCATCTCTTCCGCGACTTCTATTCTACCCGTCTACTCGCCACCGTCCATCCCCACGCCTCCCTTCAATCTGCTGCCCCCACGTTCTGCTGGCATCTCCTGCTGTTCAGCGCTACATGGGAGCGATGCAACGTGGTAGAGGTTTACTGCGCCGCCACGGGGACAATCCCCGCTTGCCGCCACTTCGAGATCTTTCGAGTGGCCCTCTTCCGCACCCTTTCCTCCTTCTACCGTGACTACCTCGCTTCCCTCCCCCGCAGCGGCGATCATTTCCCCCACTTCCACCGGATCATCCGATATGAGGAGCTCCCGGTGACGACGGAAGGGATGAATCGTTTCCTACCCCCACTTCCTCCCCATCA